TATATATATATATATATATATATATATATATATATAATTTAACAGCTGATTTTGGCAAAACAGTAACTTTAATTTGTACATGTGAGCTGATTGTAATTACAAAGTATCTCATAATACAGATTTTGGGTTGTTCTTTTAACTCAACTTATTAATTGCTCTAATTGAACAAATTTATCATTTGAACCCAATTTTGGAGTACAAAGCATTCATCTCAGTTCTGTTTGAGCCAGGAAACCTCCTCAGAGGTAGAAGTATAACTTGATCATATTGTTTCCATGGCGATGCAGTCACATCCAGCCTTGAGTGGTGGGGGGGAATGTTGATCATAGCACACAGTACAGACCACACACGATGCCTCCTCTTCCTCCTCCACCAAACCTTTGGGTGTGTTTCATGTCTCTGCAGGTAATTGGCAGGTGTTCATTGTAAATGGTGGTTGTTGCAGCACAGCTGCTGTGCATGGTGGCTTTACTGAGCACAAGCAATGATTGCTTATGACTGGAGAAACCAGATTATTTGTGAATGAGGGGTTCTTTAATTATAGGAGCCAACAATATTTGAAGGATGCAGCCACTGCATGTTGTCAGATCTCTTCTTGAAAGCCTTTTGCATTTTTCTGATAAAACAGATAGAATAAAGTACTCAACAGGGCTGTAGGTTTGAGCCCAGGTTACACCAGGAAGTCAGTAAAAAGACATTACATTGTCCTCAAGGCCAATAAACAACATTACCCTCATATCGGTGGTTATTGTGTCCTTCAGTGAGAAAATATAAACAAAAATTGTGAATAGTTTGTTACAGAAATTGCCAAAGTGACTAAAATGAGATCTTATGATGGTGGAAGAGCCATTTCAGGAAGTGACTAATTTTATTTTACAAATTCAGGTAAGTTTTCTTTGACCTGCTTTTCATCTCATAAAGTATCAAGTTACAAAGTGAACTCTTTGACATGTTTCATAAAAACATTTGTAATGTTTGAATAAAGAGTAAAGACTAATCATTTGATCTTTACTCGTTGTTTTATTTTTAATTGTTATATTTTATTATTATGGGCTCAGCTGAACAAGAGTGAAAATGTAAAACCTGTGAGCAGATGAAAGTAAGAAGTTTCCACACCTCCTGGATGTATACATCATCTGACCCTCCCCCCCCCACTTCCTCCTCCTCCTCCTCCTCCTCCTCCTCCTCCTCCTCCTCCTCTGGGAGGACGCAGCACGCGCAGCAGCACCAGCTTCTTGCAGCAGGACCGGGTCGTGCAGACTCCGGAGCTCTCCGTACTCAGCGTGCACGTGTCACGTCCGAGCTGGTCGCGCGCGTCTGGACTGTGCGTCACCCCGGCCCGGTGTGGATGATGTAATGCGTGTCTCAGTAACTTGGACCAAAAGAAACGTTTAGAAGTGGTTCCGAACTGGGCCGGGGTTCTGCGCGTCTGGACTTTCATGTTCCACTGTCCGGAGCAAGGCGCCGAGGATGAGGAGGAGCAGGAGGAGTCGCTCCTAACGCCCTGCTCCCTGTGGATGAATGGAGGACAGCAGCCCGAGGATGACCGGGGGGACCCGGGAGGTTCTGGTCAACATCTCCCCGGCGGTGGCGGCTCACGCCGAGGGCGAAGAGATCGAGGTTCTGGACAGCACCGACGTCCTTCCTGTGGTTCCGGAGGAAGTAGTGAGTATCCACTTGATCCAGGTAGCCGGTCTCTGAACTGATAAACACTTTAGATGGTGTGTGTGTGTGTGTGTGTGTGGGGGGGGGGGGGGTGTTATGATCTGCAGACAGGTGCTCACCTGTTTCACTTCTTCCTCTCTCCCTCCCTCCCTCCCTTCCTCCATTCCTTCCTTCCTTCATTCCTTGCTCCCTTCCTTCCTCACTTCCTCCCTCCCTTTCTTCCTTCTTTCCTTCCTTCCTCCCTCTCTCCCTTCATTCCTTCCTTCCTTCCTCCCTTCCTGCCTCCCTTCCTTCCTCCCCCCTTCGTTCCTTGCTCCCTTCCTTCCTTCTTTCCTTCCTTCCTTCCTTCCTCCATTCCTTCTTTCCTTCCTCCATTCCTTCCTTCCTCCATTCCTGCCTCCCTTCCTTCCTTCCTTGCTCCCTTCTTTCCTTCCTCCCTTCCTTGCTCTTTTCTTTCCTTCCTCCCTTTCTTCCCTCCTCCCTCCCTTCCTCACTTCCTTCCTTCCTTCCTTCCTTCCTTTCTTCCTTCCTTCCTTCCTTCCTACCTACCTACCTACCTTCCTCCCTCCCTCCCTCCCTTCCTTCTTCACTTCCTCTCTCCTTTCCTTCCTTCTTTCCTTCCTTCCTCCCTTTCTTCCTTTCTCCCTCCCTCCCTTCCCTCCTCCCTTCCTTCCTTCTTCCCTTCCTCGTTTCCTCCCTTCCTTCCTTCCTCCTTTCCTTCTTCCTGCCTTCCTTCCCTCTCTACCTCCCTCCCTCCCTCTCCTCTCCTCTGTCCCTGCAGCAGTGGAAGTCTCTGTTTGACCAGGTAAGGATGCTGTTTGGACCTCTCTCTCTCTCTCTGTGGGTGCATGCTTCACTCTTTGGCTCCTTCATGTCCATACTCTGTGGAACCCTTGTCTTAAAGGGATAGTCCAGCTCTTTTTTAGCAGGGTTCTGCAGAAAGATGGGAAACAACTCAAACCTTACATGTTGTATATAACATGTAAGATTTGAGTTGAAACATTTGCTGACTCACTCCATCATGGTCATTAGAGTATACAGCTTACGGGCACATGGTGAGCAACATATTTCACAAACAATCTGACTTTATTTGGCTGGTACTGGTCACACCAGTATAATTATGTTTAATTAATGATCAAGTAGGACAATGAAGATGCAGCAACAGCTGCTACTGCTTACACTTTGG